GCGCTGTTGTCGCCCTGTTGATGACGTCAGTGACGCGGTTTAGTCGGGCGCGGTTTAATCGAGCGCGGTTTTGTGGTGGAACCGAGCTTGAGAGGCCGTTTTCACAGGCAGAGTGCTCGGGTCACCATAGTCGCCCCTGACATGAGTGCTATCAGGCTTGGCCCCCCAAGGTAAAACACAACCCTGATGCGGCCCTCAATGAAATTGAGTTTGACACCTGTTCTAGAGTTACAAAATAGCTGTGATTTTAATCTGTCTACAAATCTGGTTCCACTATGTCTTCCTAACTGGACCTGGTTAATTCTGTATTCCTAGATCCTACTACCTGGTGCTTCCGATTGGGATCCAGTTAAGTCTGGAGTTCATAGGGGACTTGAATCAGTACTGTCTCTTTTTCTCTGTGTGGAGTTCCCCTGGCCCCAGGTTTACTCCTGCCCTTGACTATTTTCTCATTATTATAGTAATTTATCCTTTCTTAGAATGCCAACTTGTACTGAAGATGCCTATAGGGACACCTTCCGTTGCAGTGGAAAAGGAAAACCATCTTTCCCAGAGAGGTCTCTGCAGATCAACAGCCCCCTCATTCTCTGCAGACCATTTTGCAACACCCCACATCCTATCCTGGCTTGCAACCTGTGAATAGATGCCACCGAGCATGTGTAGAGTTTTATCCCTGGGTGGTAGAACTCTACACTTGATCAGGGGCAAAACAAAACTATTGGCAAGAGCGTCCAGAATATTGCTTGTTTTGTACAGGAACCATTTCTTCACTCCTGCTTAGCATGTTGTGCTAAACAGGCCATCTTAGAATAGAATGGAATAGGAATAGAAAGAATAAAGTAGAGTAGAAATAGAACAGAACAGAACACTTTATTGCCCAAGTATGATTGGACACACAAGGAATTTGTCTCTGGTGCTTAAGTTCTCAATGTACATACAAACAACAAAGTAATGTAATCTATAAGGTTATCAATAAGAAAAGTAGAAAAGATGAGAAGGATAACCTTATAGGCCAGCTTATTATATCATAATAACGTTTATTTGGGAACTGCATCTCATGTATGCAGAAACTTGGCTTTAGGCTTTATTGTGCTTGAATAGAATGTTATCTTTGGGCAATGACATAAAAATGTGTAATAGCAGACCCTGAGACAATATGATTAAATAACACTACACAATCTCTGTGGAGGATCTTCCCAAACAAACATTTCTATACATTTTCTTCTATATCTTTTGCCCTATATGGATGGTTGGGTGACTACTCTCTAAAGTCTAGAAAAAAACATGTTTTCCTTATTCCGTGCAATCACTGCAGAAATATTACTAAAATACAATGTTTACTGCTAAAAAAAGGAGGTCTTTTGGCAAATAAGCTCTAATCACCAGTTTATAAAAAGAAAGAATAACAGGAAATAGAGGCATAAATGCCATTTCTTTTTAAGAATCTCTCCCACGTTTCTGCAAATTATCCTGTTTTCCCTGCTCCATTGTAAAAGGTCGGAAATGATTCTTTCTTCCAAAATAAATTAGAGATACTGTGTGGCTAAGGCAATTAAGGTTTCTAAGCCTTTTTTTTTGCCTCCGGCATCACAATCTGACCATGATTACTGAACTTTGCTAACAATTTGAAGTGAAAAGCTTCTCCAAGCTGTAATACAGGTAGCCCTCAATTTATGACCGCAATTGAAACCCCAAATTTCTAAAACAATTAGTCTCTTTTAATAATTTAAACAATACAGCCAAAACAGAGGTAGATGCCAGCATTTCGTATTGACATATCAGTACCTACAATGCAATAACACGGTTAAAATTGACCTCAGATATAAGATCCCAAAATTTCCGTTAAGCAAGACATTTGTTAAGTGAGTTTTGCCCGATTTTACAACATTTCTTGCCACAGTTGTTAAGTGAATCATTGCAGTTCGTAAGTTAGTAACACGATTGTTAAGTGAATCTAGCTTTCCCCATTGATTTTGCTTGTTAAAATGGTGCAAGAGATGATCACATGACCTTGGGACACAGTCATAACTATGAATCATTAATTTTGATCACATGATCAAGGGGATGCTACAAAGGTTGTGTGAAAAATGCTCATTTTTTCAATGCCATTGTAAGTTACCAAATGAACTGTTGTAAGTCGAGGACTACCTGCATACCTCTTAAAACCCATGAACCAATGGTCATTTCACATTGTAGACCGCATCTATAGTAAAAGATTACCTGAAATCTGGTTCATGCAACCCTCAGAAATATAGAAGGCTGCAAAAAAATTAATTAGGTAGTTACAGAAAAGCTTTACAACTTCAAACTGTTATAATCAGGGATTTGCCCCTGCAGAGAAAAACCAAGCCAATGATTCTGCCATCTCAGCATGCTGACAAGTCTTGCAAAGATTTGGCGATTTACAAATAGAGTTTTAATCTAGCAGCTGATTTTGGAATATGTCCCACAGGGTGATTGGGGAACTTCCTGGTTTATTCAGTGCAATCTTTCTTCCTCTCAGCTGCAATTACCAACTTCTCCAACCATATTCTGGAGGATAATGGCCAAGAGCCATGAAGAATATAATTCATCCCATTTGAGAAGCATCAAATCAGAGAAGGCTGAACTTGTATATTTACAATCCTCCCCCAAATGCAAACTTGAATGAGTTTTATGAAAGTAACATAACCATCAGTTGGGCTTGCTTAATGGAAGACACTGCACTTCATAAACAGAGTCCCTTGCCAGTGAGATGGGTGGCAAACAAATTTAATAAATAAAATAAATTTGTCAAACGGGCCAATCCTAAGAGTGTTTTTTTTTCTTGAATGCTCTTCTACGTTTTAGTGTTTGACTGCCAGGTTAACAGGTTCAGGAATCACACATAAAGTATGCGCATATTTGAACAAAGCACTAGTTGCAGTTACCCAGTTTTTCTAGAATGCTCTTTGTAAAATAGAGAAATTATAGTAAATTAGAATTATACTGTCATTGGCATTTTGCTTTGCAGTATAGTATCTTCCTTTGTAAGTATCTTTAACATATCAGACAGGTGCCAACATCAATATTTCCCTCTATAATGAGTGGCCCACGTCATCTTTGCAGCTGGGCTAAATAGTTCATTGTACCTGTGCACATAACTTATGGTTATATTATTTTCCATCTATTAACATTTTCATTTGGGGGATACCATGTTTCTCTGAAATTATGACATGTCCTGATAATAAGACCATGCCATATTTTTCCTGTGGGTAAAAATATACGCTCTCCCCCAATTATAAGCCCCCTGGACAACCCCCCCCCCCAGCCAGGCAGAGCGGCACTCAACAACCTAGTGATATCCCGAAAGTGCAAAGCTGCAAGAGCCAGGGGGAGGGGGGGCAAAGGCAATCACATTGCTTAACGCCTTTTGGGTACTGCTAGCAATAGCAATAGCAGTTAGACTTATATATCGCTTCATAGGGCTTTCAGCCCTCTCTAAGCGGTTTACAGAGTCAGCATATCGCCTCCACAGTTTGGGTCCTGCTAGGTTGGTGGATGGTGCTGTGCCCAGCTGGAGCAGGGGGGGGGGTGCCGGGCAGCTGGTCTCATGAGCAGCTGCCCGGCAATGCCCCTTTCCAACTGGGCAGAGCACCACTCACCGACCCAGTAATATCCCAAAGGCGCTAAGCCGCATGGCGCTCTGCCCAGCTGGAAAGAGAGGTTGCCTCCAGCTCGCGTGCCTCTCAGCCTCACCATGCCCAGCTCTCCCTGCAGGACAGGTCCCGCTGCCGCTGCCATTCTCCGAGCATAACCGATTTCCAAACTCTGGAGATCCGCTAACGAGTCTTCCAGCAGCGGCCGCTCTGGGACTACGCTCTATGGTTGTGGGCTGGCTGTTGGAAGACTCTGGTGGGATATTTGGGATATTACTGGGTCGGTGAGTGGCGCTCTGCCTGGCTAGAAAGGGGGGGTTGCCGGGTGGCTGCTCATGAGCGTGGTCACCTCATGGCGGCTTTGTTGCGCTGCTGCAACAGCGCAACACAGCTGTTTGCCCCTGAGGCTGTGCCCAGCTCTTCGGGCACCCGCTCCCAAAAGAGCAGCCACACAGCAACCCCAAACCAATAACCCCACCCCAATAATAAGGCCCAAGCAAAATTGGGGGGGGGTCAAAAGAAAAACAGACCCTGTCTTATTTTCGGGGAAACACGGTAGTTGTCATACACAAGTTCAGTCTTCCTCTATTTGATGCTTCTTAAATCACCTGGAGCTCAAGCAAGCCACAGTTCTGCATTCTCCCAGGATTGCGATATATAGCAGTCATTAGAAGGAGCTCTACACCCTCAGAATTAAATGCTTAGCGAAAGACTTACCTAAAGGCCAGATGATGAAGATATGCTATGTGCAAAGCTACAGATCTATCATTTCAGGGCTGGGTTGCTCCCAGTTTGGCTGAACAGGTAGTCAAATTCAGGCCTGGGTTGCAGAACCAGCAGTGACCCAGGGCGGTCATGCCCTCAAAGAGGTTTCCTTGCCGCCGCTAGGCCGGCTCCATTTTGGTTTTTCGTGACTCTGCATGCGCAGTTCACTGTAAATTGTTCTGCGCATGCATGAAGAACAATTTACATTGAACAGCGCACGCATGTGGGTTGCGAACCGGTAATAAAACCGGCAGCAACCCACCCCTGTATCACTTTGAATTTTAAAGAGGAGGAAGTAAGACATAAATAAAACTGCCAGTAAGTCTAACTCATGAAATATCAATTATATTTTTTAAACATGAAGGACTTAAATCTTTTTTTTTTTTAAAAACTAAATAATCCATCAGAAACCCCAAAGGTTGCTTTTCTTCAAGAGGCAACTGGACTTTCTGATTTTTCTTGGAAGACGTTTTGCTTCTCATCCAAGAAGTTTCTTCAGCTGAGCTGAGCTGAGCTGAGCTGAAGAAGCTTCTTGGGTGAGAAATGTCTTCCAAGAAAAATCAGAAAGTCCAGTTGCCTCTTGGAAAAAACACCTTTGGGACGACACATCAGAAACTTGTGTACCAGAGGTGGGTTCCTACCAGTTCGCACCTGTTCGGTAGAACCGGTTCGTCAAATCTACCGA